AGGGAAAGAAAAATGCAGAGAGCTGTGGAAGGGGAAAGTCAGCCTTCCTCCCTTTGGCACTGCTGCTTTCCTCACTGCAGCCAGCCCGGAGGTCTCCAAGCTTGGAGTCCACCTTGTCAGTCTCACCAGCTGCACAGGCCTGCTGGTCACCTGGGGCATGTGCTGGGAGGGTGCAGGAGGTGCAGTGCTGGGGGGTGGGATGTGCAGTGCTGGGGGGTGTGCAGTGCCTCTGTGTTTGGGGTGCAGCAGGAACCCAGTGCCCTGGGTGTTCCCATTTGCAGGGAGGTGGGCAGGCTTTGTCCCTCACTTTGTCCTAATCTCCCTGCTCTTGGCTCTGGTGTTGTTCTGCAGGTCATGTCCGTCTCACCTTCTTTGGCCAGTGGACAGAGATAGAACCCCAGTGCTGCAGCCAGGCACAGGAAGAGCTGTACAGTGCCCCAGGTAAGGGTCACCTCCTGCTGTCTTCTGCTCTCAGAACAGCACTGCCAGCTGGGGGAGAGGGGGCTTCTGCAGGCAGTGAGATGTGCCTAGCATGGCACAGACACTAGTATTCCCTGCCTCCTACTCTTAACACCTGTCTCTTTCTGCAGAAGTGGGGAGTATCTTGGAGCCCACTGAAGCAGCTGACTGCTGGAGCTTTGGCTCTCTCTTGTACGAGTTGCTGACAGGAGTGGTAAGAGGCAGAGGAGCTGTGCAAGGAGTGGGGGGAGGAGGCAACATGACAGCACGGGAACTCCCTGCCATACAGGGCTGCAAGGGTGCTTTGCCCTGCTGGCACCTCAGCACCATGACAGGTTACTTCAGGCATGTGATTCCTAGTGCCTGTACATGGTTGCTGGGTATTCAGAGCCCTGGGCTTCAAATCCTGCTGTGTAGAGCTGGGGTTGTGTGGTGATGAAGGTTCAGCCAGGTGCTCCTACCCTTCTCAGTGCCTCCACTCACCATCATCCTCTGCCTTCTGCAGCCACTGTCACAGAACCACCCTTCAGGGATTCAGCCTCATACCCCATTGCATCTGCCAGAGGGGCTCAGCACGGCCGCTAAGTCGCTGCTCACCGAGGTAGGGGGCTTGGGTGGATGGGAGGGAGGATGGGGCCAGAGGGTCCAGCCTGGGTAGCTTTTCAGCCTGAGGAGGAGAAGACTCTGGAGGAACCTTATAGTGACCTTCCAGTACCTGAAAGGGGCCTATAAGAAAGGTGGGGAAGACTTGCTCACTAGGGCATGAAATTATAGGACAAGAGGTAATGGTTTCAAGCTAGAAAAGGATAGATTTAAGTTGGACATTAGGAGAAAGTTCTTTAATATGAGGGTGGTGGATCACTGGAACAGATTGTCTAGAGAAGTGGTGGGGTCCCCATCCCTAGGGTCAGGCTTAATGGGGCTGAGCAGTCTCTTCTAGTGTAAGATGTCCCTGCTTCTTGTAGGGGGTTGGACTAGATGACCTTTAGAGGTCCCTTTCAACCCAAGACATTCTGTGGTTCTATTCTGTGATCCTGCTGTCCATCCCTTTTCTCTGCAGCTCCTACAGTACAACCCAAAGCAGCGTCTGGGCTCTGGAGAAAGTGGCATGACAAAACTGAAGTCCCACGCCTTCTTCAGCACTATCCCTTGGAACAAGCTGGTGGACTAGGCAGGCTGTCCTTCCCACAGGGAGCTGGGCACACAGCCACTGTCCCTGGCACTGGTGACCCCAGGTAGCACTGGCAGCTCTGCCTGCTGGGGAGTGGGGGAATTGCCTGTAAGGGCTGCCCTGGGGTGAAGTACACATGAAGTTTTGCAGCCTTACATATTCTTTGTCTCTGCTTGTGTTTGTTGGCATCTCTGAGAGAGGAGGCTGCAATCTGGGCTGTCATCTCCTCTAGGTTCTCTCTCGTGGGAAGGGAGCCCAAGTGCTCACCCAGGGGAGAGACCACACTCCTCTTTTGGGGCATCCCTACTTCAGCCTAGTACCATGCCCTAGGGCTCCCACCCTATGTTTTTAATCTCTGCTGCAACCACAGTAGCACAACCCCTCCCCCGCCCCCCGCCCCATTATTTCTTGTGGCTTCCAAGTGCATCTCCTCCAGGCCCCACTGGCTGGTGCCTGAGCCCAGGGTCTGTGCCCATCCCTTGCTCTGTGTGTGCATGTGTGTGTGCGTGTGTGTGTGTAATGTCTGGTGCAGGGGCAAGATGGGAGGGAGGCCTGGCCAGCTACTCTTGTTCCCCTGCCTACTGCACAGCATCTTGCATCTGCAGCCATGCAGATGCAGCTCAGGGCTCAGAAAAAAAATAATGCAGTGGGCCTGTTTTCATCCAGCCTTTTGTCATTACCCGTTCTGGCTCCAGCCCAGCAGCTGCCCTTGTTGCTGTGCTTTGAGCAGTCATTCCTGGTAGGACAAACAGCAAGGGGTTAAAGGGGTGAACGCTGAGAACCAGCACTGATGGAAGGAGCATAAGGGTCAATACAACCCAGGAGGGCAGAAAAAGAAGCATGAGCAAAAGGGGGCTGTTAACAGCTGAGGCAGGAGCTGCTGTGCTCCCTTGTCCAGGCCGAAGCCACAGGCTGAAGGAGCAGCTGGCAATGGCAGTGGTGTAGTTTTGGCCCTTGTCTCCCAGCACTCCCTCCCATCGCTTACCCCACAGGAACGAATGACTGGCACCAGCGAAACCTTCCCGTGGCTACCTGATTCCAGCTCCTGCTTGCCACCAGCAGCAACACCCTGCTCCTGCCTGGCAGCCTGGCTCTGGGGCGGCAGTAGGAGGGCTTGTCCACCAGAGGGAAGCAGAATCCGGGAGAAGCCCATCTCCCCAGCAAAGGCGGGGACCGCAGCAAGAGCTGCGCAGACGGAACGGGGAGCCGAGCGCTAACGCCGGGGCAGGCCAGGGAGCAGCCAAGCCTGGGGCTTTTCCTCTCCAGAGCAGCCTGAACCCCCCAAGCAGCAGGCTCCCCACTTTACCGCCAGCCTCCTGGTCCCGAGTCAGAGAAGGGCCAGCAGGACTGACTCAGGCCTGCGGCAGAAGCCACAGGATGGCATCTTGCAAGAGTGCCCTGGGCAACACCCAGGAGGGGCAAAACGGGAAGCTTCAAACACAGCAGCTGCACGACCCTCTACAGTTTGCCAGGCTGCCATTTTAAGAGCATGACTGTACATTCACTCCCTAGGTAGTTGAAAGGCCTCATTTATTGCAGCTCCAGACAGAATACAGGCATTTCCCTTCCCCAGGCTCACATACCAAGTCAAGGTGGGTTCTCTGTATTCTCAACCAGCACGGGGCATGGGGTGCTAGCAGCATTTTAGTCATAACCTTCTCTTTCATTCACTGAATTTGTGCAAAAGCAGCTAGAGTCTTCAACCTTCCCTTACTGCACAAGGAAGGGACTTTTTCTCTCTCCTCCTAACCTTCTACCTCAACCAGAGGAAAGCCAACTCCAAGCACTGGTTTGTCCCTTATCTGGCAGGAAGCAGTGGGAACCAGTACCAGGAACTGCTCTCCCTTTGGTCAGCATGCCAGCTGTGAGTGCAATCATTTTCTGTTAAAAGGGGCTGCCTTCCTCACTCATAGTCGGGAAGGGCAAACCATTCTCTGAAGTTGATGTCAGAGCTGGAAAAACCCTGCCATGATCCAGGAACAATTACATATCGTTCCAACAGGGATGGTTCCTCAGGGAAATGCTTTTGCTTCACAGTTCTGTCTCTCTCTCTCTGCAACCCTCAACAGCCATTTTCTCACTTTCATGATTTACAACACTCCTGTTCTATCGGGAAAAACCAAACAAGCTCTATGCATGTACTGTAAGAGCCATCATGCCCTTTAGCAAATACTGAGATTTCCTTGCCCTCTCTAAGAGTTCTGTTGCTAGACCACGAACAAGATAATTTCCAGTCCTGAAATCCTCATCTTTGCTGGGAAGAGCCAATTCTGTGCCAAAGAGGCTTTGAGGGCAGTAGAACTCACAGCCAGAAAAGCCTCAATTCAGTACCATCAGGGACAGGCCCAGCTCCCATTCCCTCTTTTCTCACACCATTAGGTAACAGTTTCTTATGCTACATTAGGGATGCTGCTCCTCCCCCAGAAGCTGCTGCTTGCCCCTCAAACACACCCCACCTCGCAGTCATTGCCCAGTTTTATTTCATTTAAAATCCGCTGTGTTAAATATTTTAGTTACAAGTTCTGTGTAGAGGGTAAGAGTAATACTCTGCAGGCACTAGCGACCCCCTCACTCCCCGATACATGTGTGCGCTATTGGATTAAGGACTGCCCCCCTCCCCCCAAAACCAGCAGCCTTGGGCTGGGATATACATTACACTGAAAGACCTGGCCCCTCCCAGCTGTCTCTGCTGGTAGCAGGCCAGGCTCTCACACGCAGGAAGCCAGCAGTTGGATCCACCACCAGTGAGCTGCAATTCAAGGACAGCTGCAGGGGGCTGGTTCTTAGCCCCGTGTCAGGCATGTAATGGTGAAAGGGTTGTCCCCCCCCAGGAATGGCGCTACCTCCACAGAGGTCATGGGCTCTACCCACCTGGACACGAGCATTCATGCCACAGTGACCAGGCTGGAGAGATAAATGATCTCCAAGGGAAAGCAAAGGAGCTGCCGCCGCTGCGTTCCGGTCTGTGGAGGGAGTGTAACTAGGGCACTACCAGAGGTATGACACCTACCTCAAGCCCTGCTCTGATCAAAACCTCTGCTGCAAGCAGCCTGGGAGTCCCCAGACTGTCCTTGCAAGGCAGACAAGTGTGAAATATTTTCAAGCAAAACAGGGAGAGAACAGCAGCCTTTCCTCTCCTCTCCCTCCCAGGAACATCAGTGCTAGGAAATAAAGCTGAACCCTGCTTGGAGCAGCAGGGAAGGGTACCCTAGCACAGCAGCAGCGAGCAGATTCCAGTGGTACAGGACAAGCTAGAGGTGAGAGTTTGGTGCTGTGAGGGAGAGGATGCCATAGAGATGGCTTTGGAAAGGCAGTGCCGTTCAGTGGTTGTTCCACTGCATAGCAATCCCAGTGAGAAACTGAACCTTCGAGAAACAGAACAGGAAGGGAGGTAGGAGCTATCCCCATGATTCCCGGTGGGACAGCTCCCATCTCAGCGGAGGGAGGGAGACTGGAATGACCCCTGCCAGTTACTGAATGCCCTGCATTGTCCCTGCTGGTGCTGCGGCCCTGCCCTGGGTGGGATGCGTGGGGGTGTGGCTGCTCTACAGGTCGAGCAGCAGCACGCGGGGATCCTCCACCGCTGCCTTGATCTTGCGCAGGAAGGTGACGGCCTCTCTGCCATCAATCAGCCGGTGATCGTACGTCAGCGCCACAAACATCATGGGCCGCACCTCGACCTGCCGGGGAGGAGTAAGACAGGCACTGGTGAGCTCGGCCCTACTGCCTGCAGGATGCCCTCCTGTGAACCCAGGGAAAACTTGGCTTTTTCCAATCCCTATTTCAGGGCTCAGGCGCCCCTGGATGTGTCCTGCCTGACAAGATTACCCGCTCACACTCACTCACCCAGGCTGGATCCACACTGCACAAAACTAGGTCCCTTTCTGGAACTGTTTTCTATCACAAAGGCTACAGCCTCCCCCTCCTCCCCACACCTAAGCAGATTATCCAGTTCTCCCACTCACAGATAGGACAAGGCACCTGGCACACCTCAAGCAAGTGTCAGTAAAGCTGCCCTACACCCATTAGTCTCTGCTCCTCCTTCACAGTAAAGCCTTTCAAAAGATGACAGCGGCCCTCTGGAAAAAGCATATGGTCTATGGTCTTCATCCCACTGAGCCCTCCCCTCTGAAACCTTCTGCACAGCTCCACCAACCTTGCCTCCCACAGCCACAGGCCTGTCGACGATGGCATGCATGCCCAAGATGGCAGACTGGGGTGGGTTAATGATAGGTGTCCCAAAGAGTGACCCAAAAACCCCTCCGTTGCTGATTGTGAAAGTGCCACCATCCATGTCTTCAATGGCCAGTTCATTTTTCCGTGCCTGCAAGAAAAAGAAAAGTCTTAGAAAGGCACATAAATCACAAAAGGCAAAGGACAAGAGTTTGGATGGTCACTCTCTCCAGAAATAAATGCTAATGGCAAGAGCTTCACTTATTGATCTGTTCAGCTGAAAACCAGCACAAATTAACTTGATAATGCATCCTGTCTATAGATCTGAACATTCACTTTGGGGAAGGATTCTCTCACCTTGGCTTCTAACCCCAGCTTTTGTGAGAGACAGACACAGGGACTCCTACCACAGGGCAGTGCAGCCTTGGTCTCTAAAGACAAAGGCTAAGACACATCATGTCACTAAAGCATAGCCTGCAGTCTTCTGGAAGGGCAACGAGTAGATAGGCCTGTGCTGCAAGGCATGAGCACAGCTACAGCTGTAACTGGATCATTTCCCATAGCCCAACTCAGTGTGTTAGAGGTCAGAGCTGACGACAGAGGGATTAAACCAAGGTGATGCCTATCCATCACCCCCAATTCTTCACATTCCTCTCAACTCTGTTCAGAAAAATCTCCAGCTTTCCTTACCTTCTCCCCCAGCTCGTAGATAGCACGCTCTATGTCAGCAAAGTTCATGTTTTCTACATTCCTAACGACAGGGACCACAAGACCCTAGGGAGAAGGAAAGTGTATGATCAGCAAATTCACTGCCGTGACACCCAGAT